AATATATATATATATATATATATATATATATATATATATATATATATATATATATATATATATATATATATATCCGAGGAATTCATTTACTTTCACTTTTATTTTATATTGGTAATGATGATGATATGAGTTGAGCTTAAATTAAAGAAAGAAATCAGGATTCATACCTCCTACGTCAACTTGTTTGGGACTGAGGCGTAGTTGTTGTTATTATTGTAATTTGGAAATGAATTTTAACCTTCAAATCTAAGTTAAAAAAGAAACAACTTCAGGTAGCTAATGAATTCCCTTCTTTTCTGAAATACTAGTGTACTTCCTTTACTTTTCGTATGGAATTGCTGCTGATTTACATGATATGGTTCAACATATATTATCTGTGTTTGATGTTTAATCGTTGCAATTCTCACTAAGTGAAGTCGTGCTGAAACAGTGTGCAAATGTTCAAGGAAATCAACTCAAATCATGCAGGGATTGTGCTTTCTGCCTCTTTCTTGGAGTTATTCTTCCAACTCAAATCCCATGCAGGGATTGTACTTCTAATGTGGTTGGTCAATTTTTGTTAATGCTTTTTGTTATTAAGGTGCTGAGATTCTTGATGTTTGTGTTAAGAGAAGCTATACGAAAAACAATTCACTTTTCTCCAGATTTGACATTCATGGGTGCTGGATCTCAATTGGAAAATGAAATGATATTTTTCTATTTGGTAAATATATTGTATGATTGGATGCTATATTAGTACCTAAAAATGTCACGATGTTTTGGATTAAGGTGAATGAATTTGGACTTATTTTTTTTTCTTTGAACTAGTGATTCAAGTGCACAGTGTTGATAAGCATCCTTGAGAACGAAGTCCTGATTCAGTAATAGTCTTCCCACAAGCTCATTTTATATTGAGCAGACAAACAAGACTACTACTATGCCACTTTAAACAGATTTGTTGGTCCATAGAACAAGATTTAGTTAGAAACAACATTTGTTCTGCTTGCAACTGTCCACTAAGTTTTTGTTTCTCGTCATAAGAAACTGAGTTTGAACTAGTGAAAATGTATGGCATATCAAGACTTCATAAAATCATACAATCTTCAAGAAACATGAGATGTCAATTGGCAGTTCAGGATTTACCATAATGAAAGACTTTATTTATTTTTTTAATTTTTTTTGAAAGCCAGGAAACTTATTTTGATTCTGATTTTTATGGTAGATTTTCTTCTCTTTTCCAGATTGCTCAAGCCTGTTGGCCTCTGGTTCACTAAGGTGGAATCTAGGATCAGTTTGGACGCTTTAATTGTTGGAAAACGAGTGGTGCTTCGAGAAAGAGAACCAATCTTTTTTTTTTGATGAAGAGAAAGAGAACCAATCTGTGTACATCAAAGAAACCTATACCAAGTATATCAAGTAGCCAAATTAAGTTCTGTACGCACTTTGACTTCTTCTGGGGAGATAGAGATAACAATGATATATAAATGGCTCTCGAAGAACCAGTGTCCCATTTTCACCATGTTTACATTTAGGAGAGGTGAATCCTGTCTGTCTAACTAATACTCTTGCAACCTTTTCAGTAATGAACTTGAGCTTACAAGATTGGTAGATATATAATGGTGACTTTCCTTTCGTACTCATACTGGTGAACTGAGATGATTTTAATCTGGAGACACGGAATCATATAATTATGTTCACATAGATAATATCTGACATATTTTAGCTTTCCCAACCTCTCCCTCCGCACCTCCAGTAATTAGCTTTCTTTCCAGCATTTTTGCTACTTCTAAGCACATTTGATGGATTACTTAACTGTCTATTATCCAGTGAGAGGGATGATGTATTACCACAAAGTTCTGCAGTTTAATCCTTCCTCGAGATGGCCCAGAATTATGGTAATTGACTACCTTTGAATCCTTGAATTATTGGTCAAGTGCACATTTTTTTTAATCATCGTATTGACCTGGATTAAGAAGTTGACATCTTTTATATCGAACATGTTTAATGTATATGGTGTGGGTTCTCAGTTGCTGCTGTTGCTAATGTTGGAGGACTTGGTCTTCTCAGAGCCTCTGATTGGGTATGTCTCTACTTTTCCCCTTCTCTGTTTTCTTGATTGGGTATGCATTTCTTTCACTTTCCTTGGGTTCATGTGGGAAAATACTTGGTCCATTCGAATCTTAGATAACTTAAAACCTGCATAACTAATATGATCGTCGTATAATTAATAGTTTAATACATCATTTGGCCTCCTGTATTGAAGCCCGGATAGCTTGAGCGCTGCATAAATCATGCAAAGCTTATTATCAAAAACTAAATGTTGTGTGGCTAATTTTGCTATAGCTTATATTGATTCCCTCTCCCTCCTCCCCCCTCTCTCTTCCAGATTGCTCAAGCCTGGAAGTCTCTAGTTAAAAGAGCTGGATTCCGAGGATCAGTCCAGAGACTTGCCAGTGGTTACGAGATTGTAATGGGATTGCTTCTATTTACTTCAGTTGCTTTTCTAGAATGCTTTAATCCGTCCTAACCTAAATCCAAAACTAGGATGTTGTTTAACTCAACTATTCAGTCAGAGGTCTTCAGATTGTTTGTATTCTTGGTGAATATATAGCTGAGATATCCTTCTCAAAACAAAGGACTAAAATATCAAACATGAACAATTCTTCAATCCTGGCATTGTTTACTCCCATTGTAACTAAGCTGATTTTGTGCTAATTATGTAGGCACTGGTTGCAGCATTTTTCCTTCCTTTCTTCCTTTGGACTTTGGCATTTATATTAAAGTTGCTTGACTTAATATCTCAATACGTGCGTTAAAATTATTTTTATTATTAGCCATTTAATTGCAAGTGAATCGATATGTAAATGTATGATGAAAATATCATGGGCTAGCCAGTTTTTGGATAGGTAGTTAAAAAATAACCAACGTTTGTAAAGTCATTAAAAAATAGCCATTTTTTTGCCGAAACACGAAAAGTTTTAGCATATGCGGGATTATGGAGCTCTTGTGTATAAACTTCCATCCATCTTATTATATTGGAACTCCAACACACGGAATGTTTTAGCGTAATATGTTAAATTATGGAGTTCTTGTATATAAACTTCCTGTATATTATTATGTTGGAACTCCGGAATATTATGTTGGAAGCTTATATGTAGCATAATAAAAATTTTGGATTTTAAGGGTTTCTTTGTTCAGATTTTATTTTTACATGAAAAAGTGGTTAAATTTTGATTATTTTTGAAATTGTGGCTATTTTTCAATTACCAGTTATAAATTTGGTTATTTTTTATTTTTTTCCAAATGTATGTAATATGAGTGAGAGACAATGATTTTAAGAAAAAATAAAATTGAATTAGTCATTTCTCTTTTCTTTTCTAACTTGCTTGTGCTGCGATCATCAAAATCCTAACATGACTCCAACCAATCAAACTTTCTATTCATAAGCTTTTGTCGCACAGCTACTTATTGAGGCGATGAGTGAAATTGTAAGTTGCAGTCCACAATTTTGTGCTTTCAGTCTCTACTTTGAAATTTTATTTGGTCATGATCTTTTAAAATACTTTTTAGAATTTTTTGCTTATTAAATATTTTGACTTAAATTATACAGTTTTCACTATCTTTTTAAATAAATTATACATATGCAACGTAGGTTCGATTATATACGGGGCATTTGCATCGATGCCCGTTTTTTGTGCCACATTTTAACTTGTGCCCCGCTTTGCAAAAAAAATTACAAGCGTACCCGCTTTTTCACATAACTTCAGCCCACGGGGCTGAAGTTTTTCTTTTGTACTGGAAAACTTCAGCTGAAGTTTTTGTCTTTGTAACCGGAAAACTTAAGCTCTAATTATAAAATAAAAACTTAAGCAGTTTTCCAGCTTAAGTTTTCCAGTTATAAAATAAAAACTTAAGCTCTAGAGCTTAAGTTTTCCAGTTATAAAATAAAAACTTAAGCTCTAGAGCTTAAGTTTTCCAGTTATAAAATAAAAACTTAAGCAGTTTTCCAGCTTAAGTTTTCCAGTTATAAAATAAAACTTAAGCTGTTTTCCAGCTTAAGTTTTCCAGTTATAAAATAAACTTAGCAGTTTCAGCTTAAGTTTCCAGTTATAAAATAAACTTAGCTCTAGAGCTTAAGTTTCCAGTTATAAAATAAAACTTAGCTCTAGAGCTGAAGTTTTCCAGTTATAAAATAAAAACTTAAGCTCTAGAGCTGAAGTTTTTGTCTTTGTAACCGAAAAACTTCAGCTCTACAGCTGAAGTTTGCCAGTTATAAAATAAAAACTTCAGCTCTAGAGCTGAAGTTTCTATGTTGTAACTAGGAAACTTCAGTTCTAGAGCTGAAGTTTTTGTCTTTGTTTCTTGTACTGTTTCTTGTACATTCATCGAAGGAATTACATGGAAATATCTAGCAATTTTTGGCGGATAGTCTTGAAATATCATGTTTAAGTAGCTACATATTATTTCCCGTTAAAATTTGTTAGAATGGTCAATGAAAATCTGACGATTACATATCGAGCAAAGGTAAATCCAGAAAATCTATCTTCTTCAGTTACCGCAAAGCATGAAACTAGCAAGTTCCAATCTCATATTCTATTTGTAAAGGCTTATCTCAAACACTAACTACAGTGAAGAGCAAGAACTGTGATATTGAAGAAGAAGAAGAAGAAGAAGAAGAAGAAGAAGAAGAAGAAGAGGAGAAGGGGAGGAGAAAGGGAAGCTGAAGTTTTTTAAAAAGTGGGTACGGATGCAAACAGAAAGACAAAGCGGCTACAGGTTAAAAGGGGGCGCCCAAATAGGATGCCCCGTGCAATTTTTACATTATATACGCCTGATTAAGTCGTTGGAAATGAAAAAACGTTGTGAAATACATAGGCAACTTCCTGAATTTGCCTGAATCTTTGTCGACACCTTATATATAATTAAGGCCTGACCTATTGATGGGTATATTTGCTGCTTTTACCTTTCTAGAGCCTTTTTATCCGCTTTACTTTTGTATTCTTTCTGAGCCGAGGTCTACTAGATACAGTCACTAATTTTTTAAGATAGCAGTAAAGACCACGTATACACTATTTTTCCCAGAGCCCACATGTAAAAATTTCACTGGGCTTCTTCTTGTTGTTGTACCTATTGATGTGTGTAGTTCACACTTAATGATGTGGCAAAATAAACTAGTACACGTAGACGGCAGATATTAAGTCCAAATAATCCCAAAAAAAAAAGACAAAAACTTTTAAGCATTAAATAAGTAGGCGTTTGGACATAAAAATTGTAATTTTCAAAAAAATTATTAATTGGAATTCAGTTGAAAAATGATATATAGAATTTGAAGTTATGTTTGGACATGCATTTTATTTACAAAAATATTGCTGTTTTGTGAGTAGAAATTTTTTTTTTGAAAAAGTCGTCAAAACTATTCTGAATAATTAATCCAAACAGGTGCCCACTCAACCACTTATACTAAAAATAGTATGTTGAGGTATAATATATGCATAATTAATGTATTATATTATGTGTATAATTATGTTTTTATCTATATATATTTAACTAGAAAAAGTAAATAATAAATATCACTCGCTATTTGTGTTAAATCCCTCAATTTTTTTTTTTTTTGAAAAAACATTGAAAAAAGGAATTTTTCTTTTTTTATGGAGGGCCTAAAAACGGGATAAATTCAAAAAATAGCCAGATTTACCACTGGTCGTTGAAAAATAGCCAAGTTTCAAAAGTCATCGAAATTTAGTCACTTTAAATCTGAGCGAAAATACTGTTCAAAATCCGAAAAAATACGCCCGCGAATTTTACGGGAGTTCCAGCATAAGTATGCTTGAACTCCCGTAAATTTTACGGGAGTTCCAGGATAACTATGCTGGAACTCCCGCAAATTTTACGGGAGTTCAAGCATAATTATTGCGGGAGTTTCAGCAAGTATAATTGTCCAGTATGAGCACTGGTGCTTCAGTCTCCCGCAAATTTTACAGGAGTTAGCAAAGTATACCGGTCCAGCATAATATGCTGGAGTTCGTACACAAATGCACCGGAACTCCTGTATATTATACTGAATCGGTCCCTGTTACAGTAAAATAGTGGCTATTTTTTATTGACTTGATAAATGCCGGCTAGTGTGAAAACTGGGTGTACTATGATATTTTAACCCAACTGTACTTTCAAGTTTCAACTCCCGTACCCGTTCTGTCTTCTTCCCCCAAAATTTCGTTGGTCTGTGCTGCTGACTGAATATGAATTAAGATGGGCGAGCTTCTCATTTTTTGCACTTTTACAGGAAATTGAAGGTTAGTCTAATTAAATCGCTTGTTCGATTTCTCTGAAAAAATGCTTTTAGCTGTTAGGTTTTCCTCTGAATCGACAAGCAAATAGAGTTGAAGATGCTGTTTTTTAAGCTAGGTTTTCTTAGTTAATTCGTTTTGCCATGTTAGCCTTTGTGCTGTATCGAAGATGTTGCAGATAGTGATGTTCCAGAGACATTGAACTTAAGAACATAAAGATATTGTAATTAAATGCTCTGATAATTACTGAAAGAAAGGTCAATTCAATTATTGAAACAACAAATATAAAAAAACTGAGAATGACAATTGCTTAACTCACAAATACAGTAATTTATGTGGCTGGTCAATGTTGGCGGTTGTTGATAATACCGAACCTACTTTGTCTATAGGAAGTTCTAAAAGAATATATGCCTGGTTTAACTGAAGTTAGTACTTTTGACGCGCAACATAAATTTATATGTACAAATTTATTAATATTGCAATAAATAGCGATATGAACTCATAACTTTAAAAAGACAATATGTTCAATCCTAAAAACCTTAAAGGTACAACTCATAAAACTTAAATGCTAGATCCGCCTTTGAATATATGTGTATACGCACACAGTTAAGACTTGGATAAAAAAACAAGAAGGAAGATGACAAGAAGTTTTCCTAAAGTTGCAGAAGACTTGGCAATTATCTTGAAAAGCAGCAACATAACGGCCAGTTATCGTCAAAAATGTCTTGTGTTTCTTCCAGTATGTCTTCATCTTCCAAAGTCTGGAAGTATGATGTCTTTTTGAGTTTTAGAGGTGAAGATACGCGTAAAAACATCGTGAGTCATCTCTATAGTGCTCTAGAACAGAGAGGAATCCATGCTTTCAAAGACGATGAGCGTTTGGAAACGGGAAAATCAATTTCTGTTGAACTTTTGAAAGCCATAGAAGAGTCCAGATTTGCTGTTGTGATATTTTCCAAGAGATATGCATCCTCAAAATGGTGCTTAGAGGAGCTTGCCCACATCATAAAGTGCCGAAATGAATTGGACCAAATTGTGCTTCCAATCTTTTATGATGTGAGCCCATCTGTTGTACGCCATCAAAATCCGCCATTCGCTAAATCATTTTCCAAGCACGAGGAAACATACAAAGATGATAAGGAGAAGGTTCAAAGATGGAGGGATGCATTTGCAGAGGCTGGAAAATTATCAGGTCATGATCTAAAAAATTATAAGTAAACTTTCTTTTTTCTTCTTCTGTTTCGCTTTCTCGTTTTGCAAGAGGAAATAGGACCAAACTATAAGTTACACTTCCAAACAACTATCATCTGTGTTTTTTGCCTATAAAGAAAAAAAAATCCACGAAGCAGAGACATGTAACGGTTTACTTGTATTTATAATTTAAAAAAAAAGTTTAATTGATATAATAAGCTCATCTTGATATGGTATATAGGCATCATTGGAAGATGTCTTGATTTTCTTATGATTCTCCATGCATCTGTCTTATGATATCGTGATTTTGTTTTGCAATATTTTGAAAACTTTCTGTTGAAACAGGTATGCCGTAAAAATTATGGAATAAGGAATATATATGGAAGATATCTTTCTGATTTATCCAGATAAGGCTTATAATTATTTCTAGATTAGATTTTTGGAGATAAAACATTATAATTGACAATGAGTAGTTGATTACCTTGTAGCATTAATGTGGGCATTTGTGTTAGAGAACAGTCTATTAAAACATTATATTAACTTCTGCTTAATTTACATAGTGGCTCTTTTTGTTGTAATGTGTAGGGATGAGGTTGAGTGCATCAATAAGGTAGTTGATTACATATTACCAAAGTCGCTTCAAGTTATCCCACTGTCTTCCGGAAGCTTAGTGGGTATGGAACCTCAAATTGGGAAAATAATCTCATTATTAGATACGGAATCAAATGATGTTCGTTCCATTGGATTATGGGGGATGAGCGGTATCGGCAAGACAGAAATTGCAAGTGTTATATATGAGAGATATCGTCATCAATTTGAAGCTGATTGTTTTCTTGGTGATGTTGGAGAAATGTACCTGAAAAAGGGACTTACATGGTTACAACAAGCTCTCATCCATAAGCTATTGGGGAAAAATATACCTATAACTAGTGAACGTGAAGGTGCCATAATTATAAAGAATGGGCTTCGCTGGAAGAAAGTTTTGGTCATTCTTGATGATGTAAACCATCTAAGTCAACTAGAGCTTATAGTTGGAGGGACAGAGTGGTTTGGTAGGGGTAGTAGAATTTTGATTACCACGAGGGACAAGCACGTCATAATCGCTCATGTCAAGGAGGATAAAGTGTATGAAGTCCAACTGTTATCCGAGAATGATGCACTTGAACTGTTCTATATGCATGCTTTCAACAGAAATTCTCCAGAGAGAGATTTTGAGGAACTTTCAAGGGAAGTGGTGAAATATGCTGATGGGCTCCCTTTAGCTCTTAAAGTTTTGGGTCCTTCTTTTTGTGGACGAAACAAAGAGCAATGGAGAGATATAATTGATAGACTGAAGAAAATCCCTAATGATGACATTTTAGGAAAACTTAAGATTGGTCTTGATGGATTGAACAAGGATGAGATGAGGATATTTCTAGATATCGCATGCTTGTACAATTATAAATCAATGGATCATGTGGCACTAATACTTAAGAGTTGTGGTATTCATCAGTCGATAGGAATAAGCCGCCTCAGCGAAAAATCTCTCTTATCCTTCAGTAGATATGACCACACATTTAGGATGCATAGTTTGATAAGACAAATGGGTGAAAATATGTTGAGGGAAGAGTATGCAAACAGCAGAATATGGCTTCATGAGGAGGTTAATGACCTTTTTGCTGGAAAGTTGGTAAGGAATATTTTAACTAAATTGATAATTTTGTAAGCTCATAGTATTGTGACTTTAATTTGTTCGGCTGAGTTTTTTCTGCTTCGTTTTTATCAATTCCTTAACAAATAGATATATATCTCTTCCTTTACAGAAAACAAAAAAGGTGGAAAGCCTATGGATTCCAAAAGGTTTTGATTTTGAAGATGATCGTGTCAATCATAGCAAGGTATTCAAGAGGATGAAAAGCTTACAGGTGTTGATACTTGGTGAAACTGTTTGGTCAGATTTTCTTTTTCTTGTCATGGCTGAAACTATTTGCTCGCGTAGCATTATCACTTGTCTTCCTTCTAGCCTGCGGTGGATTGAATGGCCAAATTATCCTTCAAGATTATTGCCAGAGAGGTTTGAACCATCACACCTCGTTGGCCTTTGTTTAAAGGGAAGTCGGCTTGTCGAACTTTGGCCAATATCAAAGGTTTACTTGTACACTCTCTCTCTCTCCAATACAACAAAATTCCAAGTTTTTTCTTTGGCTAGGTTTAATGCTATGACAATAAGTATTTCAAAAACAAAGCTGAAAACTTGTTTCCACATTAGCTACACTCTACTTTAATTTTTTTCTTTCATCCAGTCTACTTACTTTAATGAGCATTCTGAAAACTTACTTTAATGAGCATTCTGAAAACGAAACTTTTCCATTTTAATTAGTACTCCCTCTGTTCCAGTTTATGGGAACGTATTTTCTTTTTAGTTCGTTCCAAAAAAAATCAATCTCTTTCTGAATTTAAAAACAATTTAACTTAAACTTCCAGTATTACCCTTAATGAGAAGTTTTTATAGCCACACAAATACTGGGATATTTAACTCCCCAAAGTTGTAAAAGTCTTCATTTCTTTTTTAAACTTCGTGCACAGTCAAATAGGTTCACATAAACTGAAACGGAGGGAGTATGCGTTTTCCGTCAATTTTGTAACAACCTTCTCTTCTCTTCTTTCTCTTCTCTTTTTCTTTTTTCCTCCACAAAATACACGGCAATATTTCTATTACTACTACTTAAGCTAATGGTATTTCACAGAAACATTATGTTTTATATTCCACTCTTTGTATGAAAACAGAGATTGAGCTACTTGAAGCATTTGGATCTAAGCAAGAGCCTTGAGTTAAGAAAAACCCCTAATTTTGGTGACATGCCAAACCTGGAGAGACTAATATTAGAGGGGTGTAAGAATTTGGAAGAGGTCCATCCCTCTCTTGGACATTGCAGAATGCTTGCTTCTTTGAATTTGAGGGGTTGTAGCAAACTTAAGAAGCTTCCAAAATTTGTTTCCATGGAATCTCTTGAGAATCTCAACCTCCGTGAATGCACAAGTTTAAGAAAATTTCCAAAAATCTATGGAAATATGCGGCGCTTATCAGAACTCTATGTTGAATCCCCCTGGATAAGAAGCTTACCCCTCATGTCTCTTAGCGGCCTGAGCAGGTTACATTTGTACTATTGTGAAGATCTTGAAAGTATTCCAGACACTATTATTCAAAATCTTAGATATCTGGACATTTCGGGCTGCAATAAACTTGCAGCGCTGCCAAACAGCCTCTCTGAATCACAGCAATTGGAGCAACTTAGCATATACCACTGTTCTAGATTGGTAGAGCTCCCCATATCTCTTAGAGTTCAAAGAAAGCTTGTCCGGTTAGCCTTAGACAGATGTGAGAACTTAAAGAAGCTCCCGAATTCCATTCAGATGAAATCCCTTGGTTATCTCGGTATATATAATTGTCCAAGATTAGATACATTTCCAGAAATCAATGGAGATATGCGTTGCTTGAAACATTTGACTGTGAATTCTACAGAAATAAGAGAACTACCTTCATCCATTGGGAGTCTGAGCGGCCTCAATACTGTCAATCTGGAAGGTTGCGAAGATCTTGTAAGTCTACCAAACAGCCTCCGTAATTTGACGAATCTTCAAAAGCTTATTCTCTGCGGCTGCAAAAAGCTAGAGAACCTTCCGGAAAACATTAGTGATCTGCAACAGTTAAGGTTACTTGATGCAAGAGGAACTGCTATCTCCCAACCGCCTCCCTCCATCAGCAAGCTTGGCAAACTGAGGAGTTTAAGATTCTCACGTGTTGTACAACTTCAACATTCCTCAAGTTTTGTTTTGCGCCAGCTTTCAGCTTTATCCTCCTTGACTTATCTTTATCTTAGTAATCTCAATATATTGGGTGGACTTTCTGAGGATCTTGGATCTTTGCACTTTCTGGAATATTTAAATGTAAGTGGAAGCAATATTTCTTGTTTACCTAACAGCATCAATGAACTCTTATGCCTTGAACGTCTGAACGTACAATTCTGTAAGGGTCTTACTGAACTGCCAGGAGAGCTACCCCCGAATTTACGGGTGCTATGTGCAGACTATCATTTAGCCTTGAAGAGCATCAGAGATCTAGTTTTGAAGTGTGTTAACTTGGAAGAGATCTCAATATCATGGTGTGGTCATGAAATAACCGAATGCAGAACTGTCACAAGTAACCAAGTTAATGTGTTCAAGTTCCTACATCATTTTCTTAGGAGATCTATCCAGGTTTTTATCTCTCCCTCACATGTATGAATGTTGAATATTCTTGTCAAATTATTCATATATATTAAAACTGAGCTTTTTTGTTTCAGAATGACTTCTTCCGCCAAAGGTGGATAAGATTTAGCATTTCATTTCCCCAAGGCAAAATTCCCGAGTTTTTCACTTATCAGTTTATAAATCAAAACACAATCTCAGTTAATCTGAACCCATCTTGGTATACTGATAAATTCATGGGTTTTTCGATATGCTACCAAGTTCATGGAGAGGAAAAAGATTCAAAAGTTACTCCTACATTGGTCTGCAGATTATTCGGCCTAGAAACATTACTTGGATCGGAAGATCCCCTTTGCTTATATGATTCGCCAAATGATAATACTGCTCCCGGCATGCTTTTTATCTACATACCATTTCAAATATTTGGGGACCATTTTAAGCCTTTAGGCACCAAAGCGAAGAACCCAAATGATTATTGCCTATTTGAGGTATCTGTAATGTCAGGGAAGGAAGGGTGCTGGGGAATTCGCCTGGAGTATGAGAATAAAGTTAGGAGATGGAGAAGGAAGGAATGTGTGACACAAAGTCCCAAACTCCATCCAGTTCTGCAAAAAGATAATGCAATGACAACTGAAATTGGTTGTTCTATGGTATTTAAACAACAAGAGTACACATCATGCACTTCTAGTTCGCAGGTGTTTGTTGAAAATAACATCGCAACAGAGAGGGGACTACATTTGTACTATGAGAATAAAGATCTAGAGGTGGATCAAGCAGCAACGGTATTACAAAAGGAACATGAATCTCAGAATGTTGAGCTGATTGGAGTGTGTGATAAGCCATTAAGGAAGATGGACGACGCTCCGAAAAAGAGAAAGAAAAATTGAAAGATGGCAGGGGAAAATGAGAACCAACTAGCTTGCATGACTTTGATTGGATCGTGAGAAACCTCTTACTTTGATAGCATAAATCAAGGTTAGGCTTTATCATATCTTGAGAATTCTCGTGTAAAATATGTCTACTTTTATTGTTAATTTCATGTTTCTTTGATGTAGGAAGCATCTATCCAATCAGATTTTCAGCACAAAGAAGATGTAATGGAACAATTTCTCAACATCTAAGCTAAGCGTTAAGAGCTTTGCAAGTAAGCACTTGTTTCCTTGAGACAAAATGGAATGGAATCCTCTTGCTCACTACAAGTTAATCACTCCATTAATTTTTATTTTATTTTACGATTTTGTCGAGAAATGCGCCTGATATTAGTCCTACCATTCGTCATTTTTACCTTGATGCTTTAGGCCTCTGCTTCTATGTTTACTCAGCGTAAGGTACCTGTGATATCATTCTCAGGCAATTCTACTTGTTTTAATATTCCCTCTTGAATTTATACTAGTGAGGAAACTCGAAATTATTTAACTGAAAGGAAATAAATTAAGATCCCAGATTCAAACCCAAGCTACAATCCTTGGTATTAGCTTGTCTCCTCTTGTCTTAGTTACCAAGTTTGCCCGACACCTCTCATGTGCTTGTAGGATGTATTAGTCAAGATGCATACAAGCTAACACCTTCATAAAAAAGATACATAAAGGATAGTTGAGCTAATTGGTTATTTGATCTGCTGTCTGCACTAAAGCCACTTTTGTCTCCATTCTTTCTTCCCTTTTTAATTATTTTAATCATAACCCTGAATATTTTTTAATCATAACCCTGATTACGGACCCCTCAATCCAATCTGTGTTTAAGAAGCCTCCCTTTTCTTTTCCTGGACATTTATTTGTTTGGAATAGTTGTCTGAAAGTTTTGTTTTCCATGGCTGCTAATAAGTTCCCATGTTATACTTGTTGCTTTTGCATTTGGAGATGTACCTCTGAATTTTTTTTACCATGATTTGGTATCCAGGGAAATGGCTGAGGAACAAAGACCTCGCTCAAAAGAGACTCTTCACGTACTCAATTGGAATGCTCTTACCCTTACTTATCTCTTTACTCAGAGAAGTCCCTCTCGGAGCTATTCCCGGCGTTGTGTCTTCTTTCTCCTTACTCTAGGAATGAAGCCGTAAGCCGAACAGAATACGGACTTGATTGCTTATTTCATTCCATCTACAAGAGCAATACCTCACAGGCTAAAGCAGGAACAAGGGGCGTAAGCAGTCTTTAGAAGTCTAAACTAGAAAGACTTACGAACCACTTAGGAAGGATAAGAGCCGTAGCTACAAAGCAAAAGAAGTTGTCGGAGGCGATGCGACGTTACTCACCTCAGCCTCTCTGGTGGCATTAGTTACCAGATTCATTCAGTGACAGCGTTAGGATAAATGTTGGTGTCTCCCTGGTAGGCAAAACACTTGTTGTGATGGGTTTTGGGATGGTTGGATCAGAAGTTGCAAGGCGAGCTAAGGGGCTTGGCATGCATGTTATTGCTCATGACCCATATGCCCCTGCTGACCGTGCACGTGCTATTGGGGTGGAACTTGTGAGCTTTGATGAAGCCCTCGCATCTGCTGATTTCATCTCACTTCACATGCCCCTCACCCCTGCTACAAAGAAGATCCTGAATGATGAAACTTTTGCAAATATGAAAAAGGGTGTACGGATTGTGAATGTTGCTCGTGGGGGTGTGATTGATGAAGAAGCTTTGGTGAGGGCACTTGATGCAGGCATTGTGGCACAGGTCCTGGTTCCTTCATCTTTGAGACACCGGAAACATATGAATTAGTTTGTTGTTGAACTGTTGCTGTCTCTGTATTTCCCTCAACCTTCATGTCTGTTGGAATATCAAGTGTTCAAGAGCCGTCTTAGTTATCTTCCACCTTTGCTCTCCATTGCTGGATTTAGACTCTAGAATAGACTTTCTCCTTGAATGTCTTACGTAATTATACTAACATATAAATCGTCACAGGCAGCACTTGATGTTTTCACTGTGGAGCCGCCATCAAAAGATAGCAAGTTGATTCAACATGAGAATGTGACTGCAACTCCACATCTTGGTGCTAGTACTATGGAAGCTTAGGTCTGTGCATTGACACATTCATATGGTCAAACTTTTCTTCTAGTTCACACATTTACTAATACTCTTAGAATGATTGTCCAGGAAGGTGTGGCAATTGAGGTAGCGGAAGCAGTTGTTGGCGCTTTGAAAGGGGAGCTCTCTGCTACAGCTGTCAATGCACCTATTGTTCCTGCTGAGGTAAGTGCATTCAATATTTACCAGTTATCACCCTCTATTATTCATAAACCAGAGGGGAAAAAAAGAAGGCTCGATATAGTACCTTTACTGAATTAGCCTGCCCATGTAGAACCTCTTTCATTTTTCTAGTTAACCTGCAATCTGCTTTATTGTAGAGGAGTCCTTACCAACATGTAGAAACACTATTTTCTTTTGAGGCGTAGTTTCTAGCGATTCATGGAATTTTGATAAAATAAATGTCTGAATTATAATGTTTCCTACCTCTCATGCAGGTTCTATCAGAGCTGAAGCCTTATGTCGTGCTTGCCGAAAAACTTGGTAGACTTGCTGTCCAGCTAGTTGCTGGTGGAAGTGGTGTGAAATCAGTGAAAGTAACATATGGTTCAGCTAGAGCACCCGATGTTCTCGACACAAGACTGCTTCATGCCATGATAACTGAAGGCTTGATTGAGCCTATTTCCAGTGTTTTCATTAACCTGGTTAATGCAGATTTCACTGCTAAACAAAGGGGACTACAGATAGCTGAAGAACGAATTCTTCTAGATGGTTCACCAGAAAGTCCAGTTGAGTTCATTCAGGTTCAGATTGCCAATGTGAAATCCAAGTTTGCCAGTGCTATATCTGATTCAGGAGAGATTAGAGTGGAGGGTAGAGTTAAAGATGGAGTCCCTCATTTGACAATGGTTGGATCTTTTGAAGTGGATGTGAGCTTGGTGCTAATAAACAATTCGACTGTGCGATTAGAGGTATCTACTACATTGAGTTATCAACTTGACATTTTGTATTGGCCAAAGTCACACTTGATCTAAGATATGTTCAATTGAACACTTCTGGTACTTAAAATTTTGTTCCTATTAAACACTTTCTGGATAATCGACAAAGAAATAAAGAGTGTAATACACTTGCCAATGATGTGGCAGAGTAACCAATTACCAATGAATTACACAAAGGAACTGAGCACCAGCCTGATCATTTTTCTTTTTACCGAATCTTTAACTCTTGGTGCTAAGAGTCCAAAGTGAAAGCAGGAGATGGAAATTTTCAGCTTAACAGAAATATAAAATCTCACAAGTCATCACCACTTAATAAAAAGAGAGATCCATTTAAAGCTTAATCAAGGAAAAAAACATTTAAATAGCAGTGAGATTTCCTTAATTGATAAGAGAAATTAATCATAAATCAATTTCATAATACAGGGTCTAAGCATTAAAAACAAAATGCGCACTTAGTACAACCGACAAAAGGAAATGATTAACATTAGTGCGAAGTGATTATTCCAGACAACACCGCAAAAAATATCTGGACTTTACAGTTTGAACTTATCCATCTCAGTCCTCTGCCTCGCCTATTTCTAGGCAAGTGGGGTCACCCATAGCGAAAAAATAGGTGAGAGTTCTGAATAGCTTGGCTTGTCAAAATAAATTGTTTTTAAATGGGTTGACAAAACTGATATTTAATGGAGAACAATACTCAAACACTTTTGCAACCACATACTATATATGAGGATGTGTGCATGAGGTTTATAACAAGTAGAGATGGCAATGGGGCAGGGTGGTTGCAGTGTGGTGGTTGCAGTGTGGGTTGAACCTTAACCCGTCCTATCCCGCATAGCAAAATTTCCTGTTATCAAAATGCCCCGCCCCGCATAGCAAAATTTCCTGTTTTCAAAACGCCCCGCGCCGCATAAACATGTCTCCGCATAGCAAATTTTTTTTTTTTTTTTTCAGTTTTAATGAGTAAGTCGGTGGTACCAGTGTTGTGAATAGCGCTCGCTACGTCACTAATAGTGGGTAGCGGCGCGAAGCGAGGCTCGCGATGCATTTTTAAAAAGTACCGATGAGGCGATGTAGCGACGACGAGGTGACAAGGTGAGATAGCGACAGAGGCGTCGCTTTAAAAAAGAAAAAGAAGAGACTTAAATGAAAGTTAGGGTTTTCTTCGACTTACAGGTACTTCCTTCTTCTTCTTCTTCTTTTCTTTCTTTCTTTCTTTTTTCTTTTTCTTTTTTCGGCAGTAAGCCTTTGTTTTTCGGCGTCTTTTCCGACAGTTAAGCCTCTCTTCTTTCTTCTTTCTTTTCTTTTTCTGGTAGTAAGTCTTCTTTGTTCTTCCTCTTTCCGACAACAACTGGTTTCTGGTATAAGTATTCCTTCTTTCTTTTCTTTCACTTTTGTTTTCACTTATGCTCTTTTTTCTTCTTCTGTTTCTCTCTTTTGATTTTTTTTCCAGTTTAGTAAGCAATTAATTGCATATTAACTTCTCTTTATTATTACAATTACAATTAACTGTTATTTTGTCTCTTTAATTACAATTAATTTCTCTCTGTAAATAGTATATTAAAATATTTGATTTCTATCTATTGAGTTTTTGAATTGATATATTTATTAATATATTATTGCTATGGGAGTTTCATATATATATATATATATATATGCAAATTTAATATTTTATTCTTTTGTATTAATTATCCCTTAAAAAGCGAACGCTTCGCTTTTTGCCTCAGTGAAAGCGAGATGGTGGTACCCATCCCTATTTATAAGGATGCCATAGACTTTGGTGGCTACTGATTTTTATGTTCTCAAATAGACAAACTAATAAGAAGTGAAGTCTCCAAATCTTCACCAATCTCTTATGCTCAATATGTTCAGCCTCTACTTCAAAAAGTTTACAGCAATCAACCAACCAAAAACAAATTAGGCTTCTCGCTGGATCCAACGTTGCACCCTCGTAAAAAGCATATTCTGTTTACTTGCTAATTCACATGGACACAACAGCTATAATAATGGTTCTCTATGGTAGGATTGTTCGTCTATTTTAGCAGGTCCCTAAGATGCTCGGACTAGGGTGCAGGTATCCGATATGAGTACAAATCTAGAGGTCGGATCCTTCAAATTTAAATTTTAAAGATTTGGGGGTACAAGTATTGGTGCGAGGATTCAACTATATTTAAGGGTAGAGCTATAAAATGTGCGTAAATTATGAAACTTTATGTGAAAAACTTACAAGTAACTTGTAGAATGAAGTAACTCAGCCTTTCATTCTCAAGTAGTAGGTAGCCATCTAGAAATCTAGAGTAACTTTTGTCTTGAGAAATCAAAAATCCAAATCTTATCTCTATAAATAGGGGAACACTCCTTGGCTTAAGATATCCTTATATATATCTCAAGTACCAACACTCTTCCTTAAGAAAAACAACATAAGTTTGGTAACCGCAGTACTGATACTTGTGTGTTTGGAGATCTGATTTATTATTTCTTGGCTTTACTTCATTCTATCCCGAGAAAGTATTTGTAAGGGACAAATAATTCTCTTTGGAAAGTGATCCTAACAAGTATATCCAGATTTTTCACCACAAACACACTGATTTAAAAATGACTTCTTATGAAACCAGTTTAGAAGTTCAAAGGCTTTTTCTACATCCAGTTAGCAAACAGAGACATAACCCAATCCTAGAATCGAGCACTCATAGCAATTAAAACTGCAAGGTACTCTGCAAATCCTTTACAAACGAGGGGAAGATGAAACCAGAGACAACCCATCCATCTCCTAATGTGAATGAACTGAGAGCTAGTATCACATTCATAAGTACTTATCAACCACAACGAGCACATACTAAGAACACATGAATAATTTCTTAGGAGGAAGAAAAATAAGGACCGAGCTCAAGAGCTAGTTCGCGGAAGCAAAGATAGAGCTTTCAACTAGGCCAAATTTGATGCTCATAAATTAATCAAAAGGGGTAAGGAGTAAATGACAGAATGCACACACATTGCTATCCCATCAACAGGAACAAAAAGAGGATCATCAACAGATAAAGTACTGAGTAACTCCACGGACACATATAAAGAGCATGTGTTTCTGAAGACAACAAGGTGAGCCACTCCCAATTTTCCGGAAGACAAAGGAGCAATCAACACGAAATTTACACGACACAGCTGAACCAAAACTGGAAATGCATCATCAGGGAAAGGAAGTTCCCATAACATCCCTTGAAGACTTGTTGATTTAAACCATCTTTGCTTGGAAAAATCATATCCATACAAGATCAGGTTATTGGCAAACCAATACAATGTTGAGTTGCTTACAACCGGCCGTACATTGATGACCACATAGATTAGTTTGTCAAGATCACCATCATCAAGCCCATTAGGCAAAGAATTGCCGCTTGGGGATCTTGATACTCGGAAATTAAAGTGGGGATGAACTTGAAATTTAAAACCATCCTCATGGATATTGTAAACTAGCAAGTGGCCCGTCAGAATTGAGTAACATAGAACTTCACTTTCCTCTTTCATAAAAGCAGTAGTAGTACTAGTAAAAGTAACAAAATCCTGGACATTCAATGCCATCAGCTTCCAACTTTGGGTGTCAAAGCTGTCAATGTCGTAAGCTTCACCGCAGTACCTCCCTTCGTACTCGTCACCTTCGTAGAGAAACTTTTTTCTCCCCAGAACATAGATCGTCTTATTGTAATGTACTCAAGAATTGGAACTAAATTGGAAAGTTTATTGATCAAACGAATTTGTACAATCAGTTACAAGCTTGGAAATCAATACATCAATTCCTAAATCAAACTACCTAATTTAATGGATAAGAAAATTAAGAAGAAGATAAGAGCAGAAGAAGGAGAAGAGAAGAGACGAGAAGGGAGCGAAGAGATACACAGAGAGAGAAAAAGATGTGAGATGCAGAAGCTAGGAAAATGGATTAAAATTCTGAATTCCCTGTTCACCGCTTGCTTGTCTCTATATATTGGTAAGTTCCCACATTGGTGAAATAAGAGTTGAAAGTTATTGACATTGAAACTAAATTGGAAAGTTTATTGATCAAACGAATTTGTACAATCAGTTACAAGCTTGGAAATCAATACATCAATTCCTAAATCAAACTACCTAATTCAATGGATAAGAAAATTAAGAAGAAGATGAGAGCAGAAGAAGGAGAAGAGAAGAGACGAGAAGGGAGCGAAGAGATACACAGAGAGAGAAAAAGAAGTGAGATGCAGAAGCTAGGAAAATGGATTAAAATTCTGAATTCCCTGTTCACCGCTTGCTTGTCTCTATATATTGGTAAGTTCCCACATCGGTGAAATAAGAGTTGAAAGTTATTGACATTGAAACTAAATTGGAAAGTTTATTGATCAAACGAATTTGTACAATCAGTTACAAGCTTGGAAATCAATACATCAATTCCTAAATCAAACTACCTAATTCAATGGATAAGAAAATTAAGAAGAAGATGAGAGCAGAAGAAGGAGAAGAGAAGAGACGAGAAGGGAGCGAAGAGATACACAGAGAGAGAAAAAGAAGTGAGATGCAGAAGCTACGAAAATGGATTAAAATTCTGAATGCCCTGTTCACCGCTTGCTTGTCTCTATATATTGGTAAGTTCCCACATTGGTGAAATAAGAGTTGAAAGTTATTGACATTGAGAACAAGCCCAACACGTGACCTCTTTTGATAACTAATTCCCGATCATAAAAATCCTTCCCACTTGAAATTGACCTTATCCTCAAGGTCATTGTTGAACCATGCTGGCAAAGGTTCTTTGTGATCATAAACTCAAGAGATTTTGTTAAGACTTTGCTCTCATTTAGAGTGCCCTGCAGATCATTGTTGCATGGTCTGAAATCGTAGTGAACTACTGGAGTCAAGCCATGACAAGGATAATCAATTGCAGCAGCCAAATTAATACCAAGCATATATTTCCTTCCATAATAACTTCTTCTCTCAAGGTCAAGAACAAGAATAACATTGACATAACCTCGTAAACTACTTGTACCACAACCTTTAATACTAATAGTTCCACTTGTGATAATCAGGCATGCTAAGAAGCCGGTGGTTGAACTTCCAACAGCTACCATAATTGTTATTGTCAATGGACACAATGCAGTTTCGGCATTTACAAGTCCTCCC